TCGTCACAGAGGAATCCGCTGACCCCCGCTCCATCGCTCGATCACACGCACCCCAATGACCCTTCAACCACACGATTCCCCGCAAACACACGACCCCATGACCCTGCAACCACACGACCCCATGACCCGGCAACCACACGACCCCGTGACCCCGCGACCACACCAACCCCATGCACCTGCGACACACGACCCCCGTGACCCTGCGAAACACCACACGACCCCGTGACCCTGCGACCACACGACCCCGCTAAATCTCTGCGACCACACGACCCCGTTGACACCTGCGACACACGACCCGTGACCCTAATGCAACCACAATGACCTGCCAAACCACACGACCCCGCTGACCCCGGCGACACACGACCCCCGTGACCCCTGCACCACACGGACCGTGACCTGCCGGACCACACGACCCCGTGACCCTGCAACCCGTGGACCCCCGCGGGACTCTGGCAAGCCACACGCGACCCCGTTGACCCCGCGACCACACGACCCGTGACCCTGCCGACACCATGACCCCAATGACCTTTGCGATCCGACCACGACCCCGTGACTCTGCAACACACACCCCGTGACTCTGCAATCCACATGACCCCGTGACCCTGTGACCACACGACCCCACGACCCATGACCCTGCGACCACACGACCCGTGACCCTGCGACCACACGACCCCGTGACCCTGCAACCACACGACCCCGTAACTCTGCGACCACACGACCCCGTGACCCTGCGACCACACAACCCCGTAACTCTGCGACCACACAACCCCGTAACTCTGCGACCACACGACCCTGTGACCCTGCGACCACACGACCCCGTAACTCTGCGACCACACGACCCCATGACCCTGCGACCACCCAGGGTCACGGGGTCGTGTGGTCGCAGAGTCACGGGGTCGTGTGGTCGCAGAGTCACGGGGTCGTGTGGTCGCAGGGTCACGGGGTCGTGTGGTCGCAGGGTCACGGGGTCGTGTGGTCGTGCGACCACACGACCCCACACACTCACCTGCTTGGGAGAGATGGTGGTACTGGACGGCGACGCCTGCTGCTGCTGCTGCTGCTGCCGCTGCCTCCACTGCTCCTCTTGCCGCCGCCGACTCTCGAGGCTCGCCGCCGCCGCCACGTCGCCGGGGACGACGCGGGGTGATCCCGATGTGCTTTTCCTCGCTCGCTTGGGCGTCGCGAGTGCCGAGGCGACTCGACTTGCCAGCGGACTCGCCGCCGCGTCTCGCTCAACCCCCGCCTCGTTTTGCTCAACCCCTGCTGGCGGACTTGCCACCGCTGCGTCTCTCGCAACCCCCGCTGTGTCTCGATCGACCCCCGCCGGCGGACTCGACCCCAATGCATCTCGTCCAACCCCCGCCGCCGCTGCGTCTTGGCCGGCGATGTCGGCGTTAGCGAGCGCGTCACGGCTGCCCTCCTCGTGTTTGGCCGGAGCGACGGTTGGTTTGCCATTCTGACCCTCAAGGTCGATCACAAGCTCGTGTTCCGACTCCATGTCACTGCCATCCGTCGTCGCGGCAACGTCCCCAGCATCCGTCGCCGTCGTCGCGGAGATGCCCTCGACGTCCATCGGCGTCGCCATGGAGACGTCGCGGACGTCTGTCCCTGTCGCCGCGGAAACGTCGTCGACGTCTGCCGGTGTCGTCGCGGAAACGTCATCGACATCCATCGCCGCGACGATGCTGGCATCCGTCGTCGCGGAAACGTCGCCGGGCGAGGGCATCCCCGCCGAGACCGCGGTTTTCATCGGCGGGTCGGTGACGACGACGCCGTCGCCGCGTGGAGAACCCCGGATCGGGATCGGCTCCTCCCGGCTCCTCCCGCAGTCCTCCCGCACGGCCGGGGTCAGAGGTCGAAGGTCAGAGGTCGGTGTCGAGGCCGCTTCTCCGTCCGCAGGCATGCGCGAGTCCCGTACAACCGGATTCATCCCCTGGGACCCATCCCGGGGAGGGTCGTCGTTGGAAGCCTTCTCCGTCGTCGAATTCGGGGCGTTGCCTTCGCCGCGGCGCTCAGCCGATCCGAGGACGTCGCCCGACCGACGGTCGTCGACCGTGTCGCGAGATGCCGGCGGAGTTCGACGCGATTTCTTCGCGACGGGTTCGCACGATTCGCTCGGCTCTATCGAGGTACCCTCCTTCTCTGCCTCGCTTATTTGCGAGTCGGTCTCCTCCTCTTCCTCCTGCTCCTCTTCCTCATCATCGCTCGAGGATAGCTCGAGGGGAGCCATCTCAATGCCGAGATTCGCCTTGCACTGCTCGATCGTCCGGCTGAGCTTCACCGAGAACTCGTCCAGCTTTGGCGCGCTCGCGCATTTCGCCGCGGCGGCCATCTTCTCGTCCGGCGACAGCCCAGGAGCGTCCGGTCCCTCGGCTTCCTCTTTCTCGTCCGGCAAGCGAGAGTCTTCCTCTTCGTCGTCGTCCACACTCGAGTCCTTCGCGTCGTCTTCGAGAGACGTGGAGAGCTTCGGCTCGGCTTTGCCGGCGCGAGCCTCCTCCTCCTTCTTCGTTCTTGAGATCAAAGTCTGGTCTTCCGTGAGATCGATGGACGCCGGCGGTGCGGCGACGGCGATTCTGTCGGTAGTTTCGCCGGGCGCGGGCGCGTCCGTGGGGGCGCCGGCGCCGGCTTTCTCTGCCAGCTTCTCGATCACGCTGCCGTCCAACTTTGGCAGACGCTCCTTGTCGAGTTTTGGCACCTTCAGTCGGACCGGCTCAACCCGCTCCTCCATGCTGCTCGTGAACACCCCCTTGTCCACCGCGCCGTCGCACCTCGCCGCCGTGGAAAAGGAAGGTCGCGGGATCGCGGCGCCCTCCTCGGTCCGCGCGTCGTCCGACGCGTCGCGAAGTTTCGTCGCTGCCTCAGGCACCGCCGCCGCAGCAGCAGTAGCAGCAGCATCAGTAGCATCAGTAGCAGTAGCAGCAGCAGCATCAGCAGTAGCAGCAGCATCAGTAGCAGCAGCAGCAGTAGCATCAGTAGCAGCAGCAGCAGTAGCATCAGTAGCAGCAACAGCAGTAGCATCAGTAGCAGCAGCAGCAATAGCATCATCATCATCAGCCACAGCAGCAGCAGCAGCAGCAGCAGCAGCTACGGCTGGCGCCTCGTCTGCCCGCGCTCCCTCCTCGCTTCCTTGCTCCTTTGCAGGATCCTCCGGGTCAGGCGTCCGCGATTCTCTCGTTTCACCACCAGCGCCACCTGGCGTCGCACCATCGCCGCCCCCCGCCGCATCCGCCTCAGCCTCCCCGTCGTCGACGGCGACGCCGCCTGCATCCTCCGCCCCGCCGCCCGTCGCCGTCCTGCCTCCGCCGCCCATCGTGCGGTACTTGCGCATGAGTGCGGCGCGCGCGGCCTTCAGCGGCGACCCCGCTGCCTTCACCGCCGCCGCCGACACAACCAGCTTCACCTTGACCTTCCGCGGCGTCGTCTCCCCGACCTCCGTGACCTCTGCGACCTCTCTGACCTTCGCCGCGACCTTCGTGACCTCTCCGACTTTCGCGGGGGCGCCGCCGTCGATGTGCATGCGCGTCGGGTCAAACAGCTGCCGGAACTTTGCGTAGCGGAATACGCCGAGGCGATCACGGACGCACTGCAGGTGAAGCTCCAGCTCATCCATGCTCGGCGAGAAACCGCCCTGCAAGATTCAAGACTCAAACTGTTTTATTGTGCGTAAGACATACAAAATTCATCGCAGGTTCACAACTACATTGGGTACTGGTGATGTGTACCAAATATGGTAGAAATCGGTCCAGTACTTTTCGAGGAGATGTCCGGACAAGTCTTGTGGCGGACAGACAGACAGACAGACAGACAGACAGACAGACCATGCGTTTCCAGAATACCCCCACCCCTAACTTTGTTGACGGGGGGTATAATAAATACATATAGTTACATCGTTATAAAGGAAATAATTACATGTAGAAGTACAATTTTAATCAGTTTAAGCACGGAAGCATCTAGTCTGCCAACCCCAAAGAGTAGATTAACTAAAGCAGCCGCTGAATAACATAATCGTAATGAAGAATTCACACAGGATTGCACATAAGCAGCAAGTGGAGAGCACGTTATGCAAATTCAAGCAGTAAAGCAAGCAGTTCATAAATCCTTGGAGAAAAAGTGTAGGAAACAAATATGTAATGAACAAAAATACAATGAATATAGAATGAACAAGAAGATACTGTACAATTTATGGATTTTGCAAGATCATCAAGTTAAACCATCAACAACAGAGGCCTAAAAAAAACATGCCGTTTCCGCTAACCGGACCGAGTCCATTTTGAACCCCCGCTGTCGAAACTTTTTATTGTGATCGGCAAAAAAATAAAAAATCCCAACGTGATATCGATCGGTGAATGCATTGATTTGACTTTGAAGTCATTATATGGGTTGTTATAAGTATAAAACAAGTATTGTTAGAATACAAAAAAAAACATTTGATAAAAAAGTTTTGCCTGCCTACCATGTCCAATTTTTTTCAGCTTGTTAGCGAAAACAAACACCTTTTTTTCTTAGGCCTCAACATAAATTTATCAAATTAATAACAATAAAACAACCTTCTTCTTCTTCGCGATCGGTGTCGGGATGTCGCGCGACAGCTGGTAGCACTGCGACAGCGGCACCCACGCCCGGTCGTGCTGACCGAAGAAGCGGACGTCCACGAGGCCGTTGGCGACGCGCAGCGCCTGTAGGAGAAAGACAAGTGAACGCCACAAAAAACCATGAGGCTGTTGGCGACACACAGTGCCTGTGGGAGAATGATGAAAGACAAGTGAACACCACAGAAAAACAACGAGGCCGTTCCCGACGCGCAGAACCTGTGGGAGTACGGCGAAAAAACAAATGAATGCCACGAAAAAACAAGTGAACACTACAAAAAAAGCACGAGGCTGTTGACGACACACAGCGCCTGTGGGAGAACGACGAAAGACAAGTGAACGCCACAAAAAAAACAATTGAACGCCACAAAAAACCACGAGGCCATTGACGACGTGCAGCGACAGTGGGAGAACAACGAGACAAGTGAACACCACAAAAAAACCTGAGGCAAAAATATTAGGAATTTCTGTAGTTTAGCCTTAGTGTTTAGAACTTCTGTCGTTAGTTTCCACTAACGATCACTCATCTTTACTACGTACAATTATTACTCGTTATATGCATGTGAATGAAGGATATGCCGGTGATGCTGATAATTATTATTAAAAAGATGCAATTGTTACTAGATACAATAAATCACGTTTACCTTTGCTGGCCAGAATGGGAAGCCTTTCAGCTTGGCCCAAACGAGGGCATGAGGATTTCTCTGAAATACAAGAAATTAGATTGAAAATTGACATCACCGAATCATATGAAAAGTACTTGAGAAAAGTTCCATGTTATTGCTTATCAGTAAATAACAACCTTCATTTACAAAGCTGCCACGTCAGTTATTTATGCATAAAGACATATATCATAAAATAAAAATTTAATAATAATAATAATAATAAACTGAAAATTTGCGTTTGCCAGTCGACTAAGAGGATTTAAGGAGGTGGCCATTATACATTTTTTATGATCAACTATCAACTATTAACTATCATTCCAGCATCAGCATCATGTGTCAGGCTATTAGGAGTGACAAGCCACCCATCTCATGGCATAGCTATTCAGCTGGTTTGTGTCATCAACAATTACTCAAACGTGACACTTGGCAAACACCGGAGATTATAGTTTGCAATAGTACAGTCAGTTCAAACATTTGTCACACTATACTCACACACGGCTCGCAAAACCAGTTTTCTTTTTTCGTGCAGGAGTTTAGGTAGCAGTCCGGACACACATCTATCTCCGACATCTACACAACATAACCAGAGTAACCAACACAAATTAAAAACAAAAATAGCACATTTCAGTTAAGTTAATAGTTATGTTATGTGTGGTAGTGTCAATAGCCTAAAAAACACACTGAAGTACGGTTGTATAAGTTCACTGCTCAAATGTAATTACTGTAAACACCAATGTCAAGTACTCTCACAACACTGTCTCGAGAAGTATTAAAATTATTGGTGCTAACAGCTGTAATGGGCATTGATGAAATAATACCTCTAAGCTATGCTACATAGGACTAGACTAATTACGGCATAGAACTACGGAGTATTGGATGGTTGGGTTGGAGGTTGATGAAACATTACCTCGTGTTTGGCAACCTTGATGATGAGCTTTGCAGCAGCGGTCAGTTTGTGGTGGGCTGTAAGGTACAACGTTGGTTAACGCATATTAACACATGTTTTCACACAAAATAAATACATTACATTTTACTGTAGTACTTTGATTACACTGCTGTCGTCTGCAGTGAAACTACTATTGCCACTCCACAAAATGACTTTTGAATGAATTTTGAGTAACACTTTAATAGGCTGTGAGAAATTGAACATCTTGTCTATGAAATCCATTTCCAGTCAATCAAGTAGAATTTTGAAAATATTCAAGAAGTAGACGAAAATCACGAGCACAGTTCACGTCGAGAAATAAACAGCTGCTTCTCTTGACAGTTTAATAATACAAAATGTACACACAATGTACACAATACACAATAAATGTACATGTACTTCAACAGCAAACATTACTGCAGGTTTACTTTAATGTATATTTTTAGTAAAATCAGATCTGAATGTAAAATTTCACGGTTCTATTATGCCATTATTAATTTTGTACTGCTCCAGTAACCCCAGTTTCAGCTGCACACAGGAGACCAAGAGTCTTTCTTATTAACTAATTAAAGATAAGAAGGATGGCGATATCGTACATTTCACAATTAGTTTCAAGTACGTATTCTGAATGGAAAATCGTTCAAACATATTGTACTGTAGTTGGGTAAACAAAATTGCACTTTTGCGATTACCTCCCAGTCGGAAACATGCAAAACAAAAATTCCAAAACAGAACTCACATAGTATTATGGCAGTGCCCATTATTTTTTTAATTGTAATTTTCAAAAACAAGGGGAAAACCTGATGACAATGGAAACGCTAATAGAAATGTAGACACATACTTCTCTATATAGAATGAGTACGATAACATATCCTCAGATTCTACACTAATGTTTTAATACTGATTATAACTTACGGCCATTGAATATGATGCAGTTATGAAGTATCCACTTCCCATCTGCAAGCAGAGCTTCAAGTGATCCATACATCTTCCGTCGAACATTCTGTAAATAAATACATTCTCTAGCAATAAACTTTCATCAATGGCAGCCACAGACATTTGTACAGTCAGAGCAAGTGAATGCAGCATTGACCTGATTAACACTGTGTAGCTGCTTTTTCATTCAGTGAAGATTGAAACAGCATCAATATCCACACCGAAAATAGTGAATGAGTGAACAGGCATATCCTACAGCACGAAAATACTTGTAATATGTACAAGGTGACAGTGTTAAGCAACGTTGAACAGACCTTTTCGAGAGTACTGAGATCCATTGGGTGAATGATATAATCTGCATATGTTGGCACCTGTGTTGTTGAAACTGGCTGGTGGAATGCTTCCAGCTAAAAAGAACAAAAAGTCCTACGATTTTATTCCGTAGTTCAAAACTTCGAGAGCACATTACGTTCGAGAGTGCCATATGATCAAGAATCCCTATTAATTTAATCTGTAGTTCAACAACACTTAAACATACATTACATTCAAGAGTGCCATATGAGCAAGAAGCCCTATTACTGTATTCCGTAGTTCGACACGCAAGAGTGCCACAACCATGTTTTTTAACGATTCGCGCGATGTCTTCGATTCCAGAGGATGGGAAGCTTACAGCGGACTGCTTCATTCTCTGTACAGCGTGTCTGAAGAGCACGCATCGCTGATCCTGGGTGAGCATCCTCATGGCAGCCGACTGTGTGTCCGTGCACTCAGCCACGACGATTCGCTGCAATAAACACCAACCCAGTGATGGATGTGTTTGTGATGTGTTTGTTGATGTGTGTTTGTTGATGTGTTTGTGATGTGTTTGTGATGTGTTTGTTGATGTGTTTGTGATGTGTTTGTGATGTGTTTGTTGATGTGTTTGTGATGTGTTTGTGATGTGTTTGTGATGTGTTTGTGATGTGTGTTTGTGATGTGTTTGTGATGTGTTTGTGATGTGTTTGTGATGTGTTTGTAATGTGTGTGATTTGTTGTGATGGGTTTGTGATGTGTTTGTTGATGTGTTTGTGATGTGTTTGTGATTAGTTTTTGTGATGTGTTTGTGATGGGTTTGTGACGTGTTTGTGATGTGTTTGTGATCGATCACAAACAGCCTTGTTTAGATCGATAAACATACGTAGCTCATCAATTTATTAAATTCAAATTCACTACGTTCAATTCTTCTCTTGTATTTTATCGCGTACGTACGCAACTACTATAAGCTCTTTACTCACAGTCTACAAGAGACATTCAGACTTGGCTATAAGCAAATATACCATATTTCAGACATATATTCAGACAGAAATCAACTGCATATTACCAACAGTAATAACACGATATTAATAACACAATGGTAATATAAATAAAAGTAAGTTATTATTATAGTAACTAATAAATTAAGTTATAAAAAAAGTAAATTAATAATTATCTACCCTCGATATTGCCAACATTCTAACACACCAGCCTTGCTATTGACATGAACATCACAGCAGGGCTATTGAGCGCACATACCTCGCATTCCGGACACACCCAGTCGCCGGTCGGCTCAGCGTCCAGGTTAATGCACTTCGTATGGAAGACGCGTGGGCACAACTCACAGCAGATGACCGTGCCTTCCCGGTGACACACCCAGCAGTAGTAGTCATTCTCGTGTTCCGTCTACACACGCAACAAGTCGAGTCTCTAGTCAACGCTTTGCTTATTATATATAGACTGGTAATTATACATAGATTCTATAGAGCGAGTGCCTTACATGACGAGTTCGCTTAGATCAGTGCTTCTTAAACTGGTGAATGGTTCACCCCCGGGTAAATGAAATTATTTTGGGGTGAATGAAACATAAGCAAAAACATAAAGAAATTTAGTCGCAGGTGAATGAAATTTTGTGAATAAGACTCGAGGGTGGATGCCACTGAAATAGTTTAAGAAGCACTGGTTTAGATAATACGAGACATCGCTTCTCAGCTTCATTTCATCCGCATCCTCACCCGCCCAAATGCCTTCAGGTCCCACAAGATGCGACGGCCGAGCGTACAGCGCACACGTACACGAGGAAACCTTGCAGCAATCGTATATTGATTCCTCCGCGAGCGCGCATGTGAGCGCCTCAGTAATACAGCTCCGTCAGGTGTCTGTCACCGCGGTCGAACCGGAAGCTGCGCACACACGCTGTACGACACGAAGGCCATCCATCACTTACCTCGTCGTTCCTCTTTCGTCTCTTGGGAGGCGGTGGAAGCGCAAACTTGTCCTCGTTCGGCACTCGCTTCTTCGCGAACTTCTTCGAAGACTCTGCAGAGACAGACAGTAACGATTTGGCAGCGAACTTCTGTATACGCGCACGCCTAGAGTCGCAAAACCACGAGCTATCAATCTGGGCGATTGTCTGAAAATTCACTTCGCAGTTGTTTGGTGTCCCTGACAATGTGATGCGCGCGTGTATAGCATTGATTACCCTGTCCTTAAGAAAGGGGTTGTGAACACGCACATGTGGTGTATGAGGTATTTTGGTGTGGATAAGATGACATTTGATGAGGGCAGCGAAAGTATGCATAGATGCAACAAAATCCAATATTGTAGATGTTTTGTACACGATTTATGTGATACAACTACTGCACACACATTTTTTACAGGCTCTGGACAGGAGACCCAATGTGTCTTATGACAATGTGTCTTATGACAATGTGTCTTGTGACAATGTGTCTTATTTGAAGTAGAACACGAAAGACAGTTTCCATACATGTCTCTCCTCCCAGCTCTCCTAGCATTGGCTCTGGGTCATTGGACATGTTGGATGCTGCTTCTCACGTTTTTATTATTAATTATTAACTCAAGTAATTATTAATTATTAACTCAAGTAATTATTAACTGATTAAATGTCATTAAATGTAACTATCTCAATATCCAGATTCAGCAACAATTGTCACGACCATTGTCTGGTCACTACTACAAGTACCGCAAACTGACGAATGGTTAACAAATTGTCCCAAGTCAGTTTGTAATTATCTTTATTAAGAACCAATTTGGGCCATAATTTGACAAAATATGGCAGACACTTTCACCCTTAACCACACTGCTAATAAGTTAATAACGGTTTTATACAATCGAACCGACCCATGTCGCTGCCATCTTGCCTATATTCTTAAAATTAATGGTTTTTAGAATGCCTACATCTTGTACTGTCAATTAATACCAAACGTGATACTAGCTAGTATCAACACAGTTGGCAGAAATATGCTGTCCTGTGACATACAAACTTCAGCACCAAACGTTTCTTCGCTTCATCACCAGATGTAAATGAGAGCAAATTTATTTTTAACTTGCTACTACGTCCCTACAACAGTTGTTTGCCCTATCCCACGAACAAGGTCGTGTGCACTCACATACAGCTGCTTGTGCTGCCCGAAAAAAGTCTGTACAAATACATACAGTCGTTTATCCAATCCTCATAACAAGTTTGTGTACATGTATATATATACGCGTTTGTTCACCCTCCGTCCTCATGAAAAGCTTGTCAACTTCTGTGAAAAGCTGTATCAACAGTCAGTCGGTTAATTATCCTATCGTCACCACGAGGTTATATGCAAGCACATAGTTTACCCCTTACTTCTCATTTTCTGGATCTGCATTGTTGTTTACCAATTCGAATGTGTGTGTGCATGTATATCAAGGTTGTTTCAGCTTTCAGGAAAGATTATTAGCATGCTGCGTGCACGTATATCAGAATGTACCAACTATTGCTAGCTGTATGTTTTTCAGCGTTTTTGTATGTTTTGTATATTACCAGTACAAACTATTGCTAGCCCTAATTTTTACAGTGTTTTACTATCTTTTGTGTATCACCATTTGTTAATGTGCATGTGAACATATTTTTGTGTATGACCGATACGATTTGTGTACGATATAACTCAATAAACTATTATTATTAATGACAACCAACCCGTCTTTGCATGAGTTAAGGGTGCTGGTGATGACTTTGCTGGCATGGCCGACGTAGTGGTGACGGTGCTTTCTTTCAGTTTCATCGCAGTCTTGGGTCCCGGAGCAGTTGTTTCTGCTTCCTTCTTCACTGATACGACGGCCTTGCTGCATAGTGTCTTCACGGGTGTTTTCCCGGTGAAGGGACTCCTCACAGGAGTAATGGCGCTGCCGGTGCTACTGCGTCGCCTCGTTGCCACGTTCAAGCTCCCGTCTGCGATGGCAACGAATCAATGCATAAGTTCAGCACAAAATGGCAGCATACATCATGCATGTGGTAGCTTCGGGGTTTTATAGACATGTATATATGTTCCATATATACTAGCCATTACGCGTATATAATATTCCATATATAATGTAATATATATACCATATAATATACCATATATTATATTCCATAATAGTGGGGCAGATGGGGTCGTTGTCGTATCAGGTACTACAGATATGTACCCGAGGTAGTTTTAGGTTGTTTAGTTTTGTTTATATTTTTATATGAGGTATGTTTAGGGTTAGGGTTAGGGTTAGGGTTAGAGTTAGGGTTAGGGTTAGGGCTAGGATTAGGGTTAGGGTTAGGGTACACTTCTGTAGTACAAGTCTGGTACACTTTGTGTATACATATATGCAGGAGTAAGATAATATAGAATAAGATAATATAGAATAAGATAATATAGGTCTATATTATCTTACTCCTGATATATGTACCTCGGGTATATATCTGTAGTAACTGATACGACAACGACCCCCTTCAGCAATAGTGGGCTGGCACGTACGTTTAACATGGAAATGAAAGTTGGAAAGTTTTATCCATTTTGACAAATATGATTCGTCCCTTTTACCCAACTGTTCCCAAAAAACCTCCAGATATGCACGGTGACCGTAACTGCTAGATCTATATTAGAAAATTAACAATAACATGTAGTACGAATTTACTCAACATTGATTTTTGTTCATGTACAGAACGTGACAGCATGGCACCTTTTAACCTCTTGGTTTTTATCGATTGAAGAAAATAAAGATATCATTGTGCACGCAAATTTTGAGAGAGTGCACGTCATGCACATATAGTCATTTGTTTTACTTGGCAACCTACATTTCACTATTTCTCCATACGCACCTCTAGTTGTGTGTGTAACTAAATACTGCACACAGCACTACAAACATGTGTCAGAGTAGCTCTAGAACTAGAGTCAGAGTAGCAGCAAATGCACCACTCTCCGCTTGTAAAAACTACTACAAATGCACGTGAAACATACGTGTCAAAAAAACCACGAGAAATTCTAGACACTCAAGAGAAAAAGCAATTTACATGTCAGGCAGGTTTTTCCTGTTGTTAACAGTTAGATGACCCGTGTATAATATATATGTACGTTTAAATAAATGTTCAATATTCACGATTTGTCTGTCATATAGCTACCATTATCTTAAGCCACAAAAGCTACCCACATGGAAAGCTGGGGGAATAGCCAAGCTAAAAGTTCTATGTCCCATCATGCATATATATATATATATATACGCCTAGGGAGAGCCCGAAACGGGCATTACACAGAATAATAATGTAGTACAAATATCTATCACTATAAAGTTCATAGATCATCTTTTGTTCAAATTCTTTAGTCTTCGTTCACTTTTTCTTTCATACTGTGGAGATTTCAGGGGTGGTGGTGAAGAGTTGTGGAGAGTTCAGGGGGGATGACGTCATACAACCAGAGACCAGCCACCGCAACATAATCCCGACACAAATAAATTACACGTGTTAACCACAGCGCGTGTGAAAGTCCAGTGTGGCCACCCCTAGGGCCACTACAATACTGTTTGATTCTCTTTATGTTGAAGCATTTACGAGTTGTATGCACAAGACTTCTCCACTCCTGTCTGTTGTCTACAACATTCCTCCACTGATCAACTGAAGAACATTACCACACCTCAGAGACATGTCCCATGCATAGACTCAGCTAGGATACGTCTAGTAAAGCTCATAGGGTCTATATGTCCCCCAGGGAACTGCCGGAACGTACCCTGGTCACTATTTGATATGGTTAGGGTTAGGATTAGGGTTAGGATTAGGGTTAGGGTTAGGGTTAGGGTTAGGGAGTAGGTGTAGGCGGCTCCCTAGACTCGTTAGTGGAGTAGGCGAGGTATGGTCCGGCATATTAGATAGTACCAGGGTACGTTCCGGCAGTACCCGGGGGGACATTGACCCTCTCAGCTCTAGTAAAGTATAACGAGCCGCATTACTAGCCGTATATTCCTGATGGTGAGCATATATCACTGTACAGTCACAACAACAAGTAACTGGGCCAAAGGTACCACGTTAATGCCCCAGATTGTTATATTCATATGCAGCGTATCAGAATAGGCTATTAACAATTATTGTTATCATCCATCATGACAGGGTATTAATTAGATTTGCCTTTTGAGAAGAATTAGGGCATAGATTGGAGTATGATAGTGTCTTTACACATATATACAATATTGCATAAAATTTCACTTGAATGCCAGCTTTTTAGTTCAATGTGTAAAGACACTATCGTACTGAATATATCTATTTAGATATATATGTGTATTTTTGAATTTACATAAATAAAAAAAGTGATAAACCGTAAAATGACATGCCTATACGTAAGCATGGAAAGTGAACATCTGGTGCATTGTAAAAGCACATGATGGTAAAATTGATATTTGAGTTATAACAGAAATAGCCATATCCTCTAAGTTATTGAGGGGGGCTAGGGAGATGAAATTTCGCTAGATGTGCCTTACCTTTGTGTCGTGTTGTCACCACCAGTGAATTTTCAGGCCTATTCATGTTAACTCTGAAACAATAACGTAAATAAATGGTATGAAAACAACTCACACATGCGGTACAAGGCATATATATCTTGACAATGTGTAACTGACTTACCATAAGAGCTAGTTAGTACTGGTCATTTAAAACAGGAGAATTATGCCAAGGCAGCTGCAAAACATCAATAAATAATGAATAATAATCAGACTGTATGTTGGAATTTCAAAAAACTGCCTTCAGTGGCACCAGAATCGGTCCCATTTTTCTATAAAGTCCATTTAAGGCCATAATTGCATGCTTGCTCCACCAGACCATATATCCTAGTTTATCCCACCCCGATTAGTTTAGCACATATGCGAGCCATATATATACCAAGGTCCCAAAGTAGGATTGTGCAGAAAAATGTACAATATGATCAAAGGGGTTGTATTCTGTCAGGCCGGTCGTGTCATACTGCCTAGCCAGTCAGGCAGTAAATGCAGCGGTCCGGAGGCGTGGTTTTCTGGTGCTTACAGAGAGGCAGCAAGCAGGGCCACCAGATTGGACGCTAACTATAGCTTGAATTCTCTAGATTTGTGTTCTACGAAAACAAGAGCACTTCACACAGCTGTACTCACAATCGGCAAGCAAGTACCCTGCTTCAGAATTAGTCTACAGACTGGGTGGCACAGCTTTGCAGCACAGACGAATACATGGGGTGGTTTAGCCGCGCAAAGGAGGGTATTGCTAGGTCGATAACAATATTCACATTCATCGTCGAAATGGCCACGCCGTCTATTGTCGATAGCCTATATATCACAAGGCGTTACTTACACCCTTGCTGGTCGAGAAAGATACACTGCTGTAAGAAAGTACAAGACACGCATGCATGCACACCAACATCACCCTTTCTGTGTACTACCACGCACATGTGTTGTGCTCTATTGCTGGCTATTCTAACAGATGACACACATATATGCCTTCTTCACAACAATAAAAGCATTTACGGCCATAAAGTCTGCCTGACAGCACGTGATGATTGCCCAGCTATCAGGCAGACCATAGTGTGTTGATATGAGCTTCCTGTATATTGTAGAAGTGGAAAGAAACGTTCTGTAATAGCATTTCAAACATCTGGCCATCGCTTCCTGGAGATGTGCCACCATTTTGATTTGCCAAAGAGCTCCCTGCATCCAAGATTCTCCCCATGTCACATCAGGGAACTTCTACCTATCGTCGCAGCGATTCCATCACCCATACCAACTAGATCGACCTTGCCACATCATTGCCACATTGGCTTCAGGGACACGTGAGAGATTCAGTAGCCTGCAAGACACGAAATTGTAGAACAGGCCATACACGCGGTGCCGTCGTGGTGCACAACAACAGCCGATCAACGTCGCCAGTGCTACGCTGCTGCCCTCTGGCGTGCCATTTGCTATCATTACCAGCAAGTTCTTACGAGTCGCTGTGGTTATCATGTGTGATGTATATCAGGGTTCTCCAAGCTTTTTCATTATGGCGGGTGCTGCCTTTACGGTCCTAGTTGCAAATCGCCGAAGGCGGTTTGCGTGCTAGGGGGGTCCGGGGGCTATGGTATTTAGCATGGCGGCTATGATATTTAGAGTGGCGGGTGCATTTTAGGATGGCGGGGCTAGACGATAGCCTGGCGGCCCATAGCCTGGCGGGCCGCCAGGCTATAAGTGCTCTTGGAGAACCCTGTATATAGAATGTTTGTTATCATGATATTCAATAAACATATACCAACGGCCTTAGAATATTAGCTTGAATATAGTTTGAATCTTAATAGATCGAACAGATTACGTTATGGTGGGTTACTGGCTCTATCAGAGAATAAAAGCACTGTTTCTATCGATCTATGTATATATATACGGATCACAGCAAATCAAAATTTCTGTAGTGTACTAGGCACAGTCTGCTTCATAACCCTAAAAATGTCTATGACTTGATTTGATCCGATTAGACTGATATGTAAACGAATTTATGTTAAACATATTGTCAACATGACAAGAATTAGTTGAGTGTCCCAAGGTTTCTTCTGAGGGAAAATTAGACAATATCAAAGGAGGTAATGGCCAGTTTGGGAAAAAAATGCGCATGATGTATTCAAATACAGGATGTATTGATATACTTATAAGTATATCTAGATACAGGATATACTTATCAGTAAATACAGAAACATTTTCACAACAGCGATGTTAAATTTGACAACGGTGGTGCGCCACTGTGCCTCTTATGTATAAGAAACCCTGGTGTTCTTAGTAACTTGATAACGAATGTGGCAAGCCGGTGCTGTCTTATCATGTGCCAGCAGGGTTCAAAATTAAGAGCAGCAAGCAGCAGTTTTGCTGCCTACAAAGGTCAGTTAGCTGCCTGCTCTCAACGTCGACAACAAATACTTGCTTTGCTTTCATACCCTGGTATGTCATGTGGCGTACACTTTGTATGCCATTTGAACACGTTTGTGAGAAAAGCTCACATTCCCTACGTACAGGTCTACACTGCAGAGATGACACGACATATCACTCAAGATTACTGAGTGTTCTTCTTTGCAGCCAGAGAGTTGCGAGAGAGTCAGGCGCAACATGGTTATACATACCACACACTTGCTGTTTGACTACTATACTTCCATGCATTGCAGTGCAGCCGTGATTATGCCACTATGCCCCTCGAGATGAGTCACCAGCAATGTGGCCAATCAGACTCGGCCATAAAAGACCCCCCCCCTCCAACTCCAGCACATAGTGAGGGAACTAACCTATAGACCTGCACCACACACAGCTGTCAGACATCTTGTACTGCGTATAGTAGTGTTATGAGATGGGCAGTATATGCTGTTGAGTTTTGGTGCAAATATATTATCTTTTACTACTAATGCACATTTATAGTTTCACCACAGATCGCATATCTTGAATTCGTGAGCACTTTATATTGGCCTTTGCGACAAACCAATCTCAATTACCATGTAATCGTGCAGATGTTATTAATATTAATTCAAATTTAAATAATAGACTCAAAACTACCATAATTCATCTCAAAACGAAACTATATCCCACAAGCCTTTAGGCGCTGACGTAAAATGAATGTTTTAATCGCGAATGCGCGTATGATGTATACGTGTATCTGGTTACTGCATTCACACTTCACATCATGCTGCTACTGTCACGTCCGTGGCTGCTTTCGCTGCAACATGTACACGAATACATCGTCAAACCATCATCTGATGCCACAGCATGGAATGTTTAGATGAATAATCAAATTCAAATCAACCACAGATCGATCTCCGAATGGAAAAAAAAAACATGACAAACACATCAACTTGCTTCCAGCGTCAGTTAATCACATCCAGGAAATCAATTGGAGCAGCAAAAATCGCATCTAACTTTGTACCAACTGCCAAGCATTGCAAAACCCCCAATAAAAAATCTAGAGGATTGTGTACCATGAATCACCTCAGTATATCATACATCATCGGTACATGCAATAAAGATCTAATAATAATAATCTGACACCAGGAGCCCATTGGATTCTCACAGATTGTGCGAAACGTACTAGAAGGATACACTTACCCAGCTGTCGATCGAACACTCTTTCTGACTGCCAATGGTCTATCAACAGACCCCGTCATCAGCGGAGACGATGCTGCTTTTCGAAACAATCCCAACTTCTTTTTTGACGGCGTCACCGCTTTTCCGCTCTTTAGGGGAGACGACTTCGCAGAAGATTCTACTACCGGGGTCGTCAAAGTGTCATTGCGAGACGCACTGGCAGTGAGACACTTTGACTTCTGGGCGAGTATGTTCGGAGTATTTATGCACGCTCTCAATTTCGGAGACCCAGTGGCCTTGTTAGGTGACGCCACGTTTTGTACGGGCACCAAACTCACTGTAGTTCTACGTTCAGACACTTTACTCTGAATGGAGGCACAGCCAGTGCCCCCCTGTGTCTCTCCTGTAACACTAACAGATTCTGCCAACTTGTCTATCTGATTTACTTTCGTAGTAGAATTGTGATCACCGAGTTCAGTTGGCAGACATTCCTGGCTCTGGTCGAGATCACTTTTGGAAGTACTTTCCCTTTCCTCTTCTGTGGTCAGGGATAAAGCAGGCTGTCCAACTCCTTTCCCGGCCATCTTGAATGAAATGCCGGAATCACTAAAAACAACAATATACATCTCTTACGTGTTTCACTGTTGTCAAACATTACATGCATATATATACCAGCATACATATAAACACAACTCTAAGAGTCAGTGCCATCTATTTTAAATGTTTATAGAATTATTTCATGCTGTACTCAAAGTCAAAGCCAATAGTGGAATATAAGATATTTTGATCACTCATCTTCTACATTGATGAATAAGTAGAAACTTTCTTAGTCGGTAGCCTGCTAGAGAATAATGTACTGTGACTGTACCAGTTCAATTTAGTTTGTTTAACAACATGTTCTGTGCTTCAGTTTAATTAGTTTAATCATGTTGCAGGGTGCGAAATTAACGGGAGTCCGGAGTCAAATACTCCCTGATTTACTGTCGGACTCCCTGATTTGAAATATGCAGGAGGAAACGTGCAACCGCATGAATCTTAAAAATAAGCATTATATGTGCATTATTGTTAATATATTTAATTTTGAACCTCAGACTTCAGACTCCTTCATTTTGCTGCGGACTCCCCCCTCTTTTTGAGGGTAGGTTGTAGGGGGTCTGTTGGACTCCCGTGTTCAAAAGTTCATTTCTACCCCTGATGTTGTGTGTTACAGATCTCCAGGAACCCAGTGGCGCTGAGAGGGTCTATGTCCCCCAAGGTACTGCCGGAACGTACCCTGGGTACGGTCCGGTATACCGGAACGTACCGTGGTAACTATCTAGCTGATATGGTTAGGGTTAGGGTTAGGCGTAGGCGACTCCCTAGACTCGTTAGTGGAGTAGGCGAGGTACGGTCCGGCATATTAGATAGTAGTACCCAGAGTACGTTCTGGCAGTACCCTGGGGGACATAAACCCTATCAGCCAGTGCACCAGATAGCTTGCGTATTTGCGTAAATACGCATGAATTTCATACAAATACGCATGTAATTTTCAAAGGTATGCGTATAGATACGCTTGTGTTTTAATAAATACGTACATGAGAAAACAAACAGATCGTATCAGTACGCTAACCTTCCATCTACTCCCGTATCGGCTCGACTCTCTCGCTAATAGACTGGTAGCTTGGTCGCGGTGCACCACTCATTAAGTTCGCTATGGCTGCTGTGTGTCAGTACGTGAACCAGTCTATCTACTATCTATCGTGACTGGTTCCTGTGTGTAGTTTATTTTACAAAGCTCTGAAGTTAAAATTGGTGTTGCGACTGGAACGCAGTCTATACTCCGGCCTTCCCGGAATTAATTCCAAATAAGGAAAGTCGAACGTGTGTGATCTAAGCTTGTTGACTATTGGTCCATTATATTCGATTAGCCAATTAGAATTCAGTTTATAATTATTCGGTAATAAAAACGCACGTTGCCGTCGTCTGCAGAAACAAACATGAAGTCTACACGTCGCGCTGCCGAACAGTGTCAGAGCATTTTAAAATATATGAATCCTACAAGACCAAGGAATGTTTCGTCAGTGGAAGATATAGTTTCACCTATAATCTCGCTAGTTGTTGAAAACTGTCTGGACATTGTCGCTCCCAAGGCTAAGAAGAAACACGATGGTAGTTTTGTTAGCGAGGAGACAGTAGCAAAATGGAAGGGAAAATATCCATGGCTTATACTCGTTGGAAATGGGGCGGACAGAAGGATTAGGTGCGACAGTTGTGTTAATGCAAAAATATGTTAATATTCTGGTCGATACTCATACTAAGAAAATATGATGAGTACTGCCAACAAGGAGTACTCATAGGGATCTTGCCGATACTCATACATAAAAAAAATGATGAGTAAATACTCATCAACGCCAAAAATTATCTGGAGCACTGCTATCAGCCCCAGTGGCAGTGAAGAATCTTTGCAGTAGGGTAGGCTACGCTGTAGCCTGTCATGCAATAAAAAATGACTGCGTGTTTGCTTTAGCCTGTCACTCAAACCTTGGAAGTTGGAGTAATCATTTTGACAGAGCTCAAACTCAACTCACCACTATTTTGCCAAATTTTAAGCCGTTTATAAAATCATCCAAGTGATCGCACGAGCATTATACACATGCATGTACAGTCATATATAATTTAAAATAGCCACGACGCTAGTGCATGTGCATTCCGTGAGCGTCACATCGGGTTTTTTCATATTTTGCTGTGAGGCGCAGCATGGCTAAACAGTCTGAGTGAGCTATGGCTCCCAGGCAATGGCTATGGCTCCAGACGCAAGGCCAAAGGAAGTAAAAACTATGGGCGTAATTCTAGTTAGTTTGGGACACCGGGCCCATTTTTTGCAATGTAGGGGTGGATACAAGTGAATCTACAAAGGTCTTCTTCAGGGTCTTGCGTAATTATATCTACGAATAAATGTCCTTTGTCCGCAAGAAGTCAGAAAACTGTCGTTGAACCCACAGGCACTTGGAACGTCTCAAAAAAAGGTAAATAAACACGAAATGTATTTACTACCAAAGTCTTAATGTTTCTCTACTCTATTTTGCCTATTATTGCCGATAATTACCGGTCAAATGCTCATCTGCAACACACGCAGTACACCGCACGCACGCCCTGTGCACAAACTCTCTTAGTCTGGTCTTATCATTATGTTGTTTGTGCACAGGGCGTGCGTGCGGTGTACTTGTGTTGCAGATGCGCATTTGACCACTGGCAGCAAGAACCAGTCCGCATCTGCATCTACATCACACACGCGGCCATTGACTATATATATATATACTACATATACCACTGTAGTCTGTAGTATATATATAGTCAATGGCCGCGTGTGCTGTAGCTGCAGGTGCGGACTGGTTCTTGCTGCCAGTGCTTTTGACCGGCATTTACGGGTAATTATCGGCAATAATAGAGTAGAGAAACATTAAGACTTTGGTAGTAAATACATTTCGTGTTTATTTACCATTATTTTTTTTATTGAGACGTTCCAAGTGCCTGTGCGGTGGCAGCTAGTGCCTGGCTGTGGTTGAACCATAGACTACTCACCTGTTTCTGCTTATTTTTCGCGATTCGCACGTTCGCGTATTTCGGGTAACATCCCTTACATTGACGCTGCTACGATTTCATATCTTATTTTGCTTGTTACGCACATCATTTACGAACTTATGGGCAGCGTCAACCACACCATAGACCACACACAAGTTCCTCAAGAAATACTTATCTGGCGCTTTTTCCAAGAGGATGATACATATTACAAACATGCCTCATGATGCTTTCCATCAAGTGGTGTCGCGTGCTGCCATCTAGCGTCAATGTCGTGCTAGTTAGTGTATAAATATCTTGCGTAACTTTTAGCCAAGAATTGTTGGAAAGCATGCAACCACGCACGCGCGCACGCTTACATAAATATCAGTGCATATCATGTTATGTGAATATATATATTCTCTCATTTCGCCTTATATTATGTCTTATGATATAATTATGCTATCAGGAGTGAATAATAGAGATTAACAGAGAGGTGTACAGGATATAGAGGTGTAGAGGTGTACAGGATTTGTACCAGGGGGAGGGCCTAACCGTAACCCAAACTTGCGAGCACGCGAAGTGGGGGTCTGGGGGGCCTGGGAAATTAGACCCCCTTAGATGCGTTTTCTGCGCGAGCAAGAGGGGTCCGGACCCCCTGGACCCCCACCCTGTACACGCCCCTGGATTATTACTCTATTTAGTATTCACTCCTGATGCTATCGTGTCACAACAAATAAATTGTTCTACCGAAAGGATGTCGCTGTTGTTACCCAAAATCTAAATAGATAAGATTTGCAAGGTAAATGGTCATAAAGATGATTAAAGGTTATAAAGACACAGATGAGGGTAAATATAATTAAGCGGATTGAGTTATCTAAACCAAAATCAAGTTTAAAACAAATGTTTTGACAAAACTTATGCACTTGGTTTTTATTCTCAGATGCAAACATGACAGCAGATAAGGAACAGTTTCCAAGATGAAAATAATCACATTATGCAAATAAACAGCCAAATTGAATTTGTGCATTGGGCAAATGTTATGTACGTTATAACATATCAGTAATTATCTCATACACTCTAAATATTTCCACCTAGTGAGTGTGAAATATTGGAATTTAATTTAAAGAACTGCTTCTTTTATTTACCCCATAGCATTCGCCCTACCTTTTTTTTTGTAATCAACAATGTATTATCTTGTATTGCGGCGTCATTATGATACTTCCACACATTTGACAACCATATGAAGCTATGTTTGCAGTTTTGCGAGAGAACGAACACACATTTTCCGATGAAATATCAAACGCAGTCACGTAACACAGCAAGTGATTTTGGCCACCTTCGAATGACGGCTTCACCTCTGTAACGCGTGAAAATCATCACCGAAACAAGTCACGCAGTGCGGCTACCTGGTCAGTGTGCCAAAATCTGTGATCGAATGCGACACTCGGGTTCAATTGAAATACGTTACAAAAAACAAACGCTGACGTGTGCTGTCGGGAAAAAATCTGCGACATTAGACGCTTAACCATCTAGAGCCCCGGACCTCTGTGCGTTAGCATAGCTATGTTCTGGGTTTTCGTTGGGACCAGCTGCTAACTTAATCATATCGTCTATGCGCAGGATGGTGATGGCTGCCTCGGTGGCAAACTTGAGGCTCTTGACCTTGGATATGGCCGGTTCCAGGACGCCATCTTTCACGCTGTCTCTCACGACTCCCTCGTACAGGTCCAGTCCAGTCCTGCAAAGAAGACGATTTCAGTGTTTACCAATCAAATAGCTTCTCTATAAATTGAGTCTCATTATAACAACCCGCTCTGTGAAAACTGGTAGCTAAACCAAACCCCCGCTAACCCAGTCACTCGAATTTGTGTTCTGGCCAGAGACTATATCAAATAAAGTGACAACGTGCCATTTTTTGTAATAACAACGACTAATATTGTTGCGCAGACGCTCATACTTCAACGTCATTTTGCTGACGACTCACTACGACACTACGAGTCACAAAAAACTCACCATTTCAGGGTCGCATGCTCTTTCTTCGTTTGAGCGGCGTTGTGATACGCTCGCAGCTTTGCGACAAGGTCGGTCGAGTCTTTTGCGGCATTCACGGCCAAGGTCTTAGGGATGACCAGTAGGGAGTTAGCGTATTCTGCGATAGCTAGCTGCTCACGTGATGCCTGCAACAGAGTTCATTACAGTTAACTTGGATTATGCGAATGAGACGGGCGGAAAGTATTTTGTTTGGATAACTGATGCCAGTGTTTAAAATACATGGCTGGTTCAGCTCCGGGTCAGCGTGTGCCGCTTGGCAACCGTTCACAGGCAAATTACGTTAGCAACTGTACCAACTGTCTCCAGTCCGACTGTTTCCACGCAAAGTTACGTCAAACGTGCGCCACCTATCTAGCTTTCTACAGCGATACACAAAGGCACAGTGAACAATCAAATATATTTTCTTGAATTATGAATAACACAAATGCATTGAAATATTTAATTAAATTATCGCAAAATAAACCTTGATTTTAGTACAATATTGAAATTAGCTTGAATTCTTCATAACCTCTTAATAGTGGGTGGTCTAGCGGCTTATTAAATATTCACAGGACCTTGAGGTCTTGCTCGAATAATCCAAAATTCGAATAACCGAGGATCGACTGTACTCACACGTCTCTATCGCTACCAACACGCAACAAAGCTATTCACGATTCCCTCATATGTCATCTCTCATTGATTATAAAATTGTCGAAACAAATATTCCTTCCACTCGTTTACACAGGGAAGGACGTGACCTTAAATGACTCGCACCAGAGACGTAGCGAAGTTCACTATATTATATATATATAAAGTTGTTCAGCCGAATTAGTTCGTACTCTCATAACTAGAGAACTCCGCAGCCTAGAGAAAAACTAAAGATATTTTCAGAATCAGCACGTCTGAGAGCGTGTTAGGGTTAGGGTTAGGGTTGAAAAATTTTAAAAAGTTAAAAAGTTAAAAATTCATAAAATTTCTATTCATCAATAGATGGCGGTGCGTACAGATTAACATCACGTACGTGTGAATCCATGGGTTTACCCTTAATGGCGCAGTGGCCTAATCGCTAGAACATCTGTCTCCTACACCGGGATTCCAGGTTCGAGTCCCAGCTGGGGAACTTATATTCCCCCTTTTTCCTTTTTTTTCCTTTACCTACCTCTTTAGTATGTATTATTTTTAATTTCTTACTTTTTAATTTTTATTTCTTATATTTAATGTCTTTTACCTTTTGATTTCTTATTATTTTACTGTTTGGGATGGGATGGCATGGGATGGGACGGGACGGGATGGGATGCCATGGGATGGGATGGGATGCGGTGTGACGGGATGCGGTGCGATGGGATGCGGTGCGATGGGATGGGATGGGATGCGGTGCGATGAGATGGGATGGGATGCGGTGCGATGGGATGGGATGGGATGCGGTGCGATGGGATGGGATGGGATGCGGTGCGATGGGATGGGATGGGATGCGGTGCGATGAGATGGGATGGATGGATGCATGCCTGGATGGATGCATGGATGGATGCATGGATAGATAGATAGTTAGATTTTTTTGGGTATTTTCCTTTCAACTAAGCGGTCACCAACTGAGTAACACCACTGATTTCCCTGAGCAACGCCGGGTATCCTGCTAGTATATTATATTTCACTAGATTTTTTCCAGATATTGCATTTTTAAGCAATGATTTCGAAATAAATCCTTTAAACGACGCCTCACCAGAGACATAGCGAGTCATACATTCCTTCCACTCGTTTACGCTGTGAGTGACAACATTAACTGACCCCTCACCAGTGACGTAGAAAAGTTCACTATATTCGATATTATATTTCCCTATATTTTTTCCCCAGATTTTAAGCAATGATTTCAAAATAAATCCTTTAAACGACCAGAGACGTAGCAAGTCAAACATTCCTTCCACTTGTCTCTTTTTCTCACAGCCAAAGACACGATGTTAAATGATTACTCACCAGAGACGTAGCGAAGTTCACTAAACTACGTATCATATTTTACTATATTTTTCCCCAGATTTTGCATTTTCAAACCAAAAAATCGTTTAAACGACCGCTCACCAGAGACGTAGCGAAGTTCACTATATTATATATTATATTTTTCCCAGATATTAAGCAATGATTTCAAAATAAATCCTTTAAACGACCGCCCACCAGAGACGTAGCGAAGTACACCATATTGTATATTATATATTTTCCCAGATTTTAAAGTGTATACCGCGAGTTTTTGGGCTCAGAAAAACGAAATATAGCAGAATATAGTCTCACCTGACAGTGGAAATATCACTGATTATACCAACATTCAAAACACCAAGATTTTATGCAGTTATAGCATAGCAAAATTGATTTGACCACATCATACCAGCAATACATTTTTCCGAGTGGTGACTCTCAAAAATTACAAATGGCGTCTCAAACAAGCGAACATAATTAAAACAAAAGGGGTTGCAATTCTGTTTAATAAATATTATTGAGTTTTTATGTCAATAATCAGAGACTTCTTCATTGTCATTCTCCTTGTTACTATCTGACTGGCAATCCACAAGCTTCTCTAATTAACAGACTTTACGTCGGATTAGTACTCACTGCGTTTACGCTATAGATGAGCGGCTGTGTTTACACATCTGACCTGATTTCTACGGTGCGTGGTTGCATTGCTGCACCCGTGATAGATCTGTCTCGCGCTACCCACGAGAAAATTCGAGAGATGGACCGGTAAACAGAAACGAACACAAATTGTAATCGTGCATGATTTCATTGGATTTGGGTGAATACGACGGTTCTAAGACATTTTATCGTTACTCTAGACAATGCTGTTACTCAAGCAATAACGGTACGGTATCGAAAGTGGGGAAAACACTAGAAAATTCTCGCGGTACACACTTTAAGCAATGATTTCGAAGTAAATCCTTCAAACGACCGCTCACCAGAGACGTGGCGAAGTTCTCCAGGTAGATGGAGAGTGCGGCCTCCACCGCCCCGCCGCCGGGGACGACGCTCTTCGACTCGAGCACGCGCTTGATGACGCATAGAGCGTCGTGCAGCGAGCGTTCCATCTCGTCACACATGTAGTCATTCGCACCGCGCAGGATGATCGAACTCGCCGTCCGTGCCTTCGGGCTGCAACAAGCGTCACGCGCGGGGTCGACAATCGCTCGGCGTGAAATGTGCAAGCAGCACAAGTAACGCGCCGCGTTACTGCTATTACGGGGTTTTCGTCAAAAAAGCCGGTCTACTCCCTAATTTTCTAGAGAAATTTTGAATTAAATTTTTTTTTAAGAATGTTCGAGTTGAGTCAAATGAAGGACTGCATGTATAAAGGGAACAACTCGGGTTTACAAGCGTCACATGCATGTCGACGATCGCTCGGCTAGAAGCGCGGGGGGGGGGGGATAAAGGAGGCGCATGTAAGTGCTGCTTCACTCACCGGGCGGTTTCCTTTGAACAAGAAAGACGTCTGAGAAATGGAGCGAGCGCTGGATTCTCACTAATTTTCGACAAAATTGTTTTAGAATATTTGAAATTATTGAAAGTGTAAAATTTTTGCTAATCTCCGAGTCACGTCGCCGCGGTAGCCCGCGCGTGCGGATGCTCACCTCTTGATGATGATGAGCTCGTCATCGCAGACCTTCTCCTGCGCGACCTCCTCCGCGTGTCCCAGCATCGTCGCGTCGAAGCTCTCCTCTCCCTCCAGGTTAGCCAACGTGGGCATCATCACCGCTGCGGCGAAGAACAGGGACGAGAATGAAGAATTACATTTTCAGATAAAATCACAACTCAGGGGGGGGGGGGGCAAAGCCAACTATTCACACATTTCACAAAAACTATTATACAATGCGTTTTACTTGCTGATAAATACAAACTAATTTGTGTTATTGTTATATTATACACACGTTCTCACGTGTGTATGTGTCCATGTAACACATACATATACAGAGAAGAACCTTATTGAATAAAGGTACTGTTGAGAGTTGATAAACAGATTTTACATTCTTTAAAACCTTATTCCCCCCAAAAACATCTCGTCGAATTCACAGAATTCACAAGGGACTGTCAAATCCGAGAAATTCCTCAGATCCGAGGAAAATTCTCATCCCTGGAAGAAACGACCAGACAGACGTTCCCGCCGGCCCACCAGCGACGGAAGACAATCCATACAACATGCCGGCCGCCTCCTTTTCGTTCCGAGAGAACTAGTGAACTTTTAGATCGTATTTTAATCGTTAGAAATAGGTGCTAGCAGAAGGCAATATTTACGGTGGAAATTGGATGACATGCGTCAATCTGTCTAATCAATAAACGATACCTATGTAGGTAGCTATGTGGTGAGTAAATGCGAGCACACGTGACCAAGTAAGGGAGGTATGCAGATGATGCTTACATATATACATACAGCTGCTTCACACTTCACACATTCGACACAGAGCTCATAAGTTATACCCACAACAATTTCATCTAAACTTAAACGGGAAAGTTCCAAAGAATGTTACGTTACTGCGTGTGAACAAACGTCCGACGGTTCACATCTTATAGATCTCACCTCCAGTGGCTTTCGCAATTCTTTTCATGTCTTGCTTCTTGCATCGACGGATAGCCATTGCGCCTGCCTGGATAAAGTACTTCATGTAGATGTCGTCAACGCCTCCAGTCAGAAGAATGACGTTAGCTCCTGCGTTAATGATCTTCTGCACTCGCTCTTTGGTAATGTCTTGCTCCCTGCGACAGAGGAATTACTCATGATTACGGCAAAGTCAAAATTAATATAATGTACAAACGTACAAATGTAAACACAATAGTACAACGCAATGCAAGCATACTATCAACTGTCCCATTATTTAAGAAGTTGCCGCGATTAGGGCATGTTGATAGGCATGTTGATTTTTTAATTTTACAAAAGATCACTTCGAGATTACAAAATTAAATATCAGCTGCATCTTTCCTATTTAAATTATCACTGTAAATTAATACTCGTGGATACTAATATGAAACAGAAAAAACACAGTTTTAAGAGGAACAACTACACGTTTCACATACAATCTAACTCACCTTTCTCTGATTTTATCAAGGGATGCAGGATCTTCAACTACGATTTGCACGCCAAGCTTCATCTTGGTTTTCATTAGGCTAAAGTCCAAGCAAGCAATCTTGGCCCCAGTAACCTTCCTTGTCATCATCTGTGAAGCCACTGTGCAGTTCAGTGCATAACCTGAAAATAAAATAGCAAAGTCTATCAGGTTACATTGTTTGCAGCTACTGAAACTTTACTTAACTTATTTCACAAGAGGATATTTCACTCATGTCCACACCCAAACTAAAACCATGTTAGTGTAGTAGTGACACTGATAACATAATGGTTAACTTCCACTTGCTGACCTTAATTCCCTGCCAAACACTTTTCTTTGAGTCCCTTGTAAATGACAAACGTGTATAACCATGACAAACACTGTCAGCAAAGTGGCATTGTCACGATTAAGACAGAGGGTTATCTCGTCTGCAGTCAAATGTCTCTAGCTTACCGTTCACAAGCACACTCTCCCTTGAGCTAAGTCCATGGGCTTTCAGCACGTTGATAGCCTTGATTGGGTACTTGACTGCTCCCTTGGAATCTACTGTCTTAATTGCCATTGCTGCTTCAACAGCCATGTTGGCAAAGAAATCTGAGTCTCTGCATCAATGGTTAAGTTTACTAACACCATGTTACGCAGTCACAAACACCAACCAACTCTATTTTAAGTATAAAATTCTCAACAAATTGCCAGTCCAATTTAAACAAGTTGCAGTGCAATCAAGTACGAATGTAGTGTCACGACTCACTTTATACAACAAATTAAAAACGGAAACAAATAGTACACAGTACCATTAGTAGACAATAAATTATGCACAGCACTAATGTAATTATACGTGTAGGATACGGTCCAATTAACTTGCTTGACATGCTAGTTTTGGCAGCATTGACAATGCAATCTTTTCCCAGCTCGTCTGTACTGATTGTCAGGTGATCTTGAATGAACCTACATGCCTCCCTGTGAATTAACATTCACAAGATTGTATAATGGGGGAAATGGAACCTGTAAACACGTGATGGAAACGCTTTCCGAAACATTGCTGCAAACCTCTATCCAAAACTCGATTAACTTTTTAGCCTACAAGTATAATTTCGGCACTAGTAGTGCTGTTGTATCTGTAGCACTTAATAAACACAGTTTAAATGATCAAATAATTGATTAATGTTACTAAAACCCTAGGTTTTTATTAAACTCTCACAAATTATAACAACAATTGACATTTTTATTGAATTACTTTGTAGACAGCAATTCTTTGCATGCTAACCGGTATCCAGATATTATAACAACAATTTTCAATTTTATTGAATTACTTTGTGGATAGCAGTTCTTTACACTTACTTGCACGCTAACCGGTATCCAGATATTATTGAAGTAGGGTGGATTTTGCATTTTACTAACTCATCAGCATTCTTCAGCAACTCTGCAGCAATAATCACCACTGACGTGGTTCCATCTCCAACCTGCCAAAATTAAATTGCACTAGGTTCCAGCAAACCAAATTTACGGTATAACGCCATTTCATTTCTCCAATGCCGGGAAATAAACAAACAACACACCACGGCAGATGCATATAAGAAGATGCACTCAGAATTACTCGTGGCACCTGTACCATTGTAATGAGAGATGCTCACTCCTCCAAATTTGCTATATATATGTAAGTTGTTTGCATCAACGTATTAGCCAGCGAGCCATGCGGGCCGTGATTTGCACGGTCAGTTTTGAAACTGCACAGCCAAAAATGTGTAGCACGGCCTAAAATATTGATCTAAAGCTGTGTACATTTGTAAAATTGCACTCCCAAATATTTTTTCTGCACTCCCACAATTCTCATTCCTGGCTAATACCCTGGTTTGCGTAGTTCTAAGATTCAGAACTGAACTAGTTAGTGGTTACCTCGAGATCTTGCAGTTCTGCAAGCTCGCAAATCACTTTTGCTGCAGGATGCTCTACTTCCAACTGTTTCAGGATCGTGGCACCATCATTCGTTATTATTACATCCTATACAGAAAGATAGAAAAACACTCAATAAATTATCTACTAAAAATAAGATTTAAGACAAACAATACATTCCTACAATGTTCGTGGGACATTATGGATAAAAACTGTCCTAGGTAAAATGCTTGTGTGTATTTATGCACTTCTGTTGTTTGTTTGGATAATATATTTTCATTATAATCTAAGATTGGTATTATCATTAATGCTAATAACCACAATTTGTTAAATTTCAATACATCGCATATACTGCTTCTGTGGCAAGAAGAGTTATCTCGAAAATTACAAATTGGTTTGAAATGTTTTTAGCGCTTAACAACATGCATCTACTATATAATAATGGCTCAACTCATTAAACAGTGCTAACCAATGCAAAAAGATTTGATTACCGACTTCTCGTCTCACACCTAAGCAATGTGGAGCAGTAAATAAATAATTCAAAGTAAAATGCAAAGGTTTAACAATGCAAGAATATATACTCATATAGAGATGTTTTACGGACAGGATGCATGCAATAAAGTTTACCAAATATACATATGGCTACAAATGGTGTCCAGATTAAAATAATAAATGATGGTAGACCCTAGCAAACAGGATGTACATGTCTAACAGGGTTCGACACTAACGCTAGTCCGTTAGTCCGAGACTAGTAAA